CGGGGAAACCCCGGGGCCCCCCCCCCCCCTTTTTTGGGGAGGGGGGTTAAAGGTTTTTTGTACTCGGCCAGCCCCGTTTTGGGTCCCCCCCCCCCCCCCCCCCCCTACACGGAGACGAGGAGACGCTAGCTGTTACTCTCAAAACTCGGCACCCCACAACAACACACCACACCAACGCGACAACCCGACCCAAATCACACCAGGTTCCCCCGACAGCACGTGCTCCGGGGGGGGGGAGGGGGGGGTGGTACAGGAGACCGCCGCCGCCGGTGGCCTCGTCGTCGCAAGAGCGCCCCGAGCGGTAGAGCGGCGGCTGGTGGGTCCCCTGGCCGTGGAGGGGGAGGCGGAGCGGCTGAGGGTCCTGACGGAGACCCTGGGTCAGCAGACCGCCGCCGGCAACATCAAGCTCAAGTTCGAACTCCACGTGAGATGACATGAGCGAGGAATTTTCGAGGCCGCGTTTTTTTTTATATATGAGATGAGAGGAGATGAGAGGGCATTTTCGCGGACAGATTTTTTTTCGTGAGATAGGATCAGATGAGAGATGATTTTTCACCGGAACATGTCTGTTTTGTGTTTTTTTTTGGGGTGAGACTGGTTTTTCATTGGATGGGTCGAATGAGGCTCCATGTCCATCGAAACGTCGCCGTTGAAGGCTTTCGACTATGCGCATGGATTGCGTGAGGAGTAGCAATCCCCAACGACCTGCAGCAGGTACGACACCCTGTGTGTACACGACGTCGTTTGTTTTTGGACCCAGCTTAAAAGAAAGGGTTCCTTACCACTTCGAAAGCAGGTTCTGTTGTTGTTGTTGTTGTTGTTGTTGTTGTTGTTTTTCAAACCTCAGGTTCTCGCGCAAACGTGCTGTACAGATGTCGTTATATGTGATGGGGATTTATCCTGCTTTCAGCCCATGCAGCAGAGCTCCGCCATTTTTCCGCGACTCTCTCGTGTCTACAGTAGAACCCTACCGTATTCGACACAAGATAACACACGCCCTGGACTGATTTTCGAAGCTCGATTTCGCAACAGCAGAGAGAGGCACATCGCCGAGAACGGCGACGTTGAAGCCGTTTCGTCGAGAACTTTCCGAAATGTATCGTTTCATATGGGCATCCTCTTCGTCGTGGCGCAATCGAGCTTTGAAAATCGGACCAGCGAGTGTGTCATCTTCCGTCGAATACGGTACCCTCGCTCTGGACGCGTCCAACAAAGCTCTCAATGATTCTCAACACCGGGATCATCTAAACCCAAGACCTTGGCTCAACCCTTTCCCTTGCAACGCCCAGGTGGACCACTGGGCCTTCGGCGAGCGGGAGCTCATGTGCCAGTGGCGCGTCTTCACGCGCAACGTCGGCGTCTGCGGCGGCCGGCGGGAGCTGGAGACCCGCGGGATGATGGCCCTGCGTCTGTGGACGAGCGAGGACGGGGAGGCGCCGGTGGTGGAGCCGAAGACAAAGGCCTCCACGTGGGCCATCCTGGGCTCGCCGCCGCCGCCGCCGCCGCCCCCGCCGCAGGAGAAGGCTCAAGCGACGGCCGCCCACAAGGACGACGACCAGCCCAAGAAGCGAGCGACGAAGCAGAAGGGCCAGCAGCAGCAGCAACAGCAGCAGCAGCAGCGAAAGGTCCACGCGTCGGCGCAAGACCGCGTCAGCAGAAGCAGCAGAAGCAGCAGCAGCAGCAGCAGCAGCAGCAACAACGCCGAGAGTAGCACCGCTGGCGCCGCTGCTGGCGCTTCTTCAGCTTCGGCCGCTCCTGCCGCCGGGGCGGCTGGCTCTGCGGACACAGCCGGTAAGGCCAGCGACGACCTCGGGGTCGACGCCGACGATGCCGACCGCACCGTGGCAGTACCCGCTGAGAGCGCGTCGGGATCGCCGTTGGCGGCGGTGGCGGCGGCGGCATCATCGTCCGACGGGTCGCCACGACCACCCTCCTCACCGTCCGGAGGGAAGAGGGCGAGGCTGGACATGGAGGCCGGGGCGTTCTGTAAGGACCGGTGTTGCGAAAACCAGCCCACCAGCCACGGCCGCCAGACACTATTGATGTGTGTGGTTCCGGCATTCATACTCTCTGTATTCATGCGTGAAT